TTTTTTTTTCTGATATTTCCGAACATCTTTGCCTCTCAAAGATTGTGAAACGAAGGGATTTTGACTTTTTTTTAAAGTATGCTATAACAAAACTACAACTGAGGCTGAATGCCTAATTTCTCAGATCCTCGGAACACACACCTATCAAAAAGCAGTGTTCCATTCCTATTGATATCTTATCCCGCTCTAACAGTTATGCATTACGTTTATTAGCATGAGATATAGCATGAAATGTTGAGATTTTTTTGTATTCTTACCATGCACAGCAAAATTCAGAGAGGAAATACGGGAAGGCAGTGTGAAATTTCACAGGGGCAGTACATCCGTTCTTCGTCAGTAAACAAATTAGCTTGTTTTTTTTAACTGGCTGCGAAACACTTCAGTTATGAACTTCACATCTAATTGTACTCACAACCCTGTTTTGTGATTACAAGGAGAGGATGAAATAGGGATCGCTTGCTTGCTTATTCATCCGGAACACGGAGCAAACTCCATCCTCTTTGTTTTTGATATTTTATGTTGTGTTCCATACGAAGTATTTTATGAAATGGGACTGAAATGGCCATATAGAAGCCATGTTTGGAGGTTAGACTGCATTTTTCAAAAGTTTAAAAATCTTTCGTGGTCAGTTCAAACTACACGGAATTTTTGATTGAATTTCGAAACAATTCTTTAGGCGAAAAAGCGTAAAGGAAGAATAAGCGGCATTCAGATAGCTTTCATTCATTGCTTTCTCATTAAAACGTGAAAGGAGTACTGTAGTCCACTCTATTATTAATTGAAGAGTGCCTGTTTTCGTCCCAGGATTCAAGCGTTTTGCTTGCAGTTGTTAGAAAATGAAAACTATTTCGAATGCCATTAATTGATTTTTTCCAGGTCGATTTGTACATTGACGGAAGGAAATTCATTGCAATGAAAGAAAATCCGGAAATTCTGGATGATTGGCCATTGCATCGCACGAAAGATACGGTGACTACTATTTCCCTTTGAGCGTTTCTTATGCATAAAATTTTCCTTAAAATTAATTTTCATTAAAATTAATTTTCATTAAGGCCAAACTCTAAATTTGAATTAAAAATTTGTTTGTGAAGTTGTTCTGAATAATAGCATACGAAAAGTAAAGAATACCAAAAATACCAGAGAAATTAAGAATTACTAAATGAATTTACTCAGACTTATGGATGATTATTTCCACCGTTATCGAACTTTGCTCAACATCTCCGAGCTCCTTTGCATTACCACGCTAAACACCCATAATAAGCGTTTATCTCCGTGTCTAGATCCAGGAGAATCAGCTTGTTTCCCTTTTGATTGCCAAGATGATTATGAATTACTTATCACGATGAAAATTCCTGGCTTAGCAGGAAGTAACTGGACTTGAATTTTTTTTTTTTTTT